CCCAGAATCGACCAGTATGAAACGACCTGACGATCGTAAAGCCGCCGATCGTTGGGGTGAACGGTTAGCGGTGCTTTCCCGCGGCTGCCATCATTGTCGTCGTTATCATCATCGTCATCAGCATCAGCACCATCATCAACATCATTATCAACATCATCTTCATCTCCATGTTCAGCTTCATCTCCATGCTCATCCTCATCATAAGGCTCATCATCATCTTCAGCAGCATCATCGTCATCACCATCATAATATTCATCAGCGTTACACTTATTGTTATCGTCGTCAACATCACCAGCACAATCATCTGCATCATCATCAGTAGAATTAACATGATCATCGTCATCATAATCATCGGAGTTATGCTTATCATTGTCATCGTCATCACCACCAGCACGAGCATCTTCATTATCATCGTCTTCAGCAGCGTCATCATAATTATCAACACCTTTATCATCGTCAGAATCATCAGCATCATAATCGTCATCATCGTCATCATCAAGAGCGTTCTACTTATCACCATTTGCTCCATCAACACCGTCGTAATGATAATTGCCATCATCTGCAGCATCATCAGCCTCATCGTTGTCATCATCATCATCATCACCGTCATCGTCATCAGTATGAGTATCAGTACCGTCATCGTCATCGACATCGCCGTCATTGTGATGGTCGTCATCATCGCCAGTGGCATCATCATCACCAGTACCAGAATCGTCCTGATCATGATTATGACCGAAGCATCATCATCAGCCTCATCATTACCATCACCGATATGCTTACCATGATCATCGTCAACATCATATGTATCGTTCCTGTTGTCTTAACCAGCGCCATGATCAGAATCATCGCCATCATTACCACCATTAGCGGTATCATCATCATCGTCGTCATCGCAAACGTTCTCATCGTCACGACTAGCAGTATCATTATCATCTTCATCGCCAGTGTCGACATCCCATTCTCAACGCCAGTGCCTTCATCATGGTCGATATCATCATTATGGCCATCGCTGTCAGTACCATCGCCATCATAATCTTCATCGTCGTCATCATCATGTCTATCACTGTCATCGTAAGTACACTCATTCATATCATTGCCGTCATCGTCATTATCATGCTCATCAACATCAGCAGCATCAGCATCATTATTATTATCATCGGTGCCAGTATCATCAACGTGGCAATCGTTTTCGTTGTCATCGCCGTTCCAAATATTATCAGTACCATCAGCATCACCATGATTATAGTAATCAGCGTCGTCAGCACTGCCATGATAATCGTGCTCGTCCTCATCATCAGCATCGTCATCACCAGAATCGTCGACATGATCAGCGTAGTCATCATCGTCAGTATCGTCATCATTGCCAGCATCATAATCATCATCAACATCATCATTGTCAGCATCATCATCAGCAGCATCTTGATGATGATCATCAGAATAATCACCAGTAGTAGTAGTAGTAGTAGTAGTAGTAGTAGCAGTAGTAGTAGTAGTAATAGTAGTAGCAGTAGTAGTAGTAGCAGTCGTAGTAGTCGTAGTCGTAGTCGTAGTAGTAGTAGTAGTAGTAGTAGTAGTAGTAGTAGTAGTAGTAGTAGTAGTAGTAGTAGTAGTAGTAGTAGTAGTAGTAGTAGGAGTAGTAGGAGTAGATGTTGTAGACGCAGCGTCATCGTCATCTTCGTCATCATCATTACAAGCAGCAGTTGCCTTATCACCATCGTCATCACCATCATCAGTATCATCACCGCCACTGTCGTAACCGTTGCCATAATCTATACCATTACCGCAGTCATCATCGTCGTCTGCATCATCATCGTAGCCACCATAACCCTCATCAGAATCAGCATCAGCATCAGCATCGTCACCATCATCGTCGCCATCATCATGACATTCATATCGGCATCGTCATCGCTGTCGTCATTATCATTACCATCACCGTCGCCATCATCATCAAGGACATCATAATTGCCATCCGTGCCCTCATCGCCGATACCATTCTTCTTATCATCACCACCATCATCATCGAAGTATGATCGTCGTCGTCGTCGTCGTCGTCTCCACCATTAACAACAACATCGTCATCATCATCAGCAGCACCAGCACCGTGAAGGGTATAGAAAGAGGAGATGAAGGAGGAGGGGGAGGAGTAAGAGGAGGGAAAGAGGAGGTAGCTCTGGGGGATGCTGGGAGGTCCCGGGGGCCTTGGCGAATTTATCCCTATCTTCCTCATCCTCTTCCTGTTCATCGTCATCCACCTCCTCTTCATCGAAGAAGGAACACTTACATCAATATGAACTTTGGGAGGACCGCGCGGATTTCTCGGATCGGCGCTGGATTCCCCTTCTGCCCGGCGCGCGAAGCGCACCAGGAGCGGAGCTGGGAGCGCCGCCAGGGGGGTCAAGCGCCGATCTGAAGAAGTCTGCTCGGCCCTCCGAAAGTTGAGGGTCATGCGGCTGCTTGTTCTTTTTATTATGAATATCAGTATGATTAGTATTGTGACCACTGTGCGTTATTCTTAATATGTTTCTTTTATATATATAATCATTATGAATAGTATGCGTTATTATCTTAACGTGTTTCTTAATATGTTTCTTATTATTGCGATTAGTAGTATTATCATTTGTATTATTTCGTGTTCGTCTCATCCTTTATTCAACAACACATCGCTCACCCTCCAGATCTTCGCCTCCGGCCCCTGTCCGCGGCGTACCTTTTCCTGTGCAAGCTCTTCGGCACCGCCTGCACCCCGGGCCCCGCCCACTCCGGCCGCCTAAGGCCCCGCCCGCCTGTGCCCTGTCTCCCGAACTAAAGTTGCGCGTAGCCCGCCCAGCTTTTAGCAGAAGAGGTTCGCTCTCGCCCCGCCGACCAAAAAGTTGTTCTCATCCTCCTTGTTGGCTGTCCTGTCGGGGAAACGCAGGCAGAGATCGAGGCACACGGGTCAGCGACGGATCCCTGTCCCAGGCAGAGTCGGCGCGCTCCGCCGCCGGACGGGGCGGCACGGGCTGCGCGCTTCGGGGGGGGGAACCTTTCCACTGTCCGTAGATCTGGCGCCCGCGAGGCGCATCCACGGATCCTTCCTCCTCATCCTTCTTCCTCCTCCTCCTCCTCCTTCCTCCTACCTCCTCCTCCTCCTCGTCCTCCTCCCTCCCCCCTACCGCCTCCTCCTCCTCCTCCTCCTCCTCCCCTCCTCCTCCTCCTCCTCCTCCTCCCCTCCCCTCCTCCTCCTCCTCCCTCCTCCTCCTCCTCGCTCCTCCTCCTCCTGCTCGCCTCCTCTCCTCCTTCCTCCTCCTCCTCCTCCTCCTCCGCCTCCTCCTCTCCTCCTCCTCCTCCTCCTCCTCCTCTCCTCCTCCTCCTCCTCCTCCTCCTCCCTCCTTCCTCCTCCTCCTCCTCTCCTCCTCCTCCTCTCCTCCTTGCTCCTGCTCCTCCTCCTCTCCTCCTCCTCCTCCTCCCTCCTCCTCGTCCTCCTCCTCCTCCTCCTCCTCCTTCTCTTCCTCCGTCCGTAGATCTGCGCCCCGCGAGGCGCATCCCGGATCCTTCCTCCCCCACTCCTTCCTCTTCCTCCCTCCTCCTCCTTCCTCCTCCTCCCTCCTCCCCTCCTCCTCCTCCTCCTCCTCCTCTCTCCTCCTCCTCCTCCTCCTCCTCCTCCTCCTCCTCCTCCTACTCCTACTCCTACTCCTACTCCTACTCCTACTCCTACTCCTACTCCTACTCCTACTCCGCCTCCTCCGCCCGTAGATCTGGCGCCCGCGAGGGGCGCATCCACGGATCCTTGACCCATTTCACGGTTGAAGCCAACACTGCGCAGCAACAGAGCACCCGAATTAAAAAGCACCAGATTCCCCTTTCCACCCTCAGGCATTAAGCATTGGCAAGCATTGCGTCCGAGATGTTGGGTTCAAGATGTTTCCAGCCCCGTTTCTCCAGGAGCGCTGCTCCACTATTAAGGCCAGGGGGCGGCGGGGGCTCATGTGAAGTGACTCGCCATCAAAACCTACGTGTTGAGCTCCGTACCCGGGTAGTTACCTTAACCAACGCTAGTGCCCGGATCCTGGGGATTTTGGACTGGGCTAGCACGAGGATAAACCCGTCCCAGAGCACTCCAGAACGCTCCGAGAAGGCCGTGGCGCCCGAGACATCTTCCAGAGTTGCTGGATCTCAAAGATTCTCGACTTATCGTCACCCGAATTTGTCCTCAGCGGGGACGGCGTTCCTCGCGCCTGGGCGCGGGCGGCGGCGCGCCCCAAAGGCTCGCCTGGCGGGGGCCACCGTCGTCTTTGTCGTCGTCGTCGTCGTCGTCGTCGTCGTCGTCGTCGTCGTCGTCGTCGTGGTCGGCGTCGTCGTCGGCGTCGGCGTCGTCGTCGTCGGCGTCGTCGTCGTCGGCGTCGGCGTGGGCGTCGTCGTCGTCCTGGCCTCGTTTTGGGGCTCCCCGGCAAGCTCCCCGGCACCCCCTCTCTCCTCCGCCTCCCCTCGCGCTGGCCGCGGCGGCGCTCCCGCCGCGCCTGCATCTGGACTCGCCTCGGAGGGCAGAGCATCGGCGGCCAGCCTGGGGGCGAAGTGACCCCCCCGCTCACGGGAGCGAAAGGACCTCTAGGGTGGGGAGTGGGAGCGCGGACGAAGAAGAAACGGGATGGGAGGTGGGGGGGCGAGCCTTCTCAGAGGGCTCTGAAGCCCCATGGCCCTCTGAGAGAAGAAGAAGAAGAAGAAGAAGAAGAAGAAGAAGAAGCAGCGCCACAAGCACAAACTGTTTGGCGCTCCGCGCGGATTTCCTGGATCCGCGCCGGCCACCCCCCGGCGCGCAGAGCGCGCCAGGGAGAGAGTCCAGCGCGGATCCAAGAAATCCGCTCGGAGCGCCAAAAGTTTATGTTTGTGGCGTTTTTTCTTCTTATATCAGAGGGCTCGGAAGCCCCATGGCCCTCTGAGAGGTTATCCAAGCCTGCCCCGAATTCAGCAAACGCTTCGTCAGAAGACCGGAGGGCTTCTGAGAGCCCCCGCCGCCTTCTGAGGGGTCCTTCTCCTTCTCACTCCTCCCGCTTGCTCGCCGCTGCCGACGGAGCAGCAAGCGCGTGCGCGAAAGATGAGCAGGCAGCAAGCGCACGGCTCGCGAGACAGCGCGAGTCACTGATATTCTCTATCCCTCCCGGCCGTCGCTTTTACATAGACCGCCCGCGCAAGCTCGGCGCTGACATGGTGCGCCCGCCGCACTGCTCCCTGGCGGCGCCCCCAAAGGGAAAGCAGAAGCAGGGGGGGGGGGGGAAGTCCGACGCTTTCTGGTGCTTGCGTCGGCCCTCGATCGGCGGGGCTGGCCGCGCCACACGCTCGGAGAGCGCTCTGACCCCTGAGCCGCCCGCCCCGTCATTGTATTCCTTCGGCCGCGTCCCTCCTCCCTCCTCCTCCTGCACGCTGGCACAATTCGGCCCCACGGGACCCCCGCTCATGCCTTCATCTCCACCGCACTCACCCCCTGCCTAGCCGCCGACGCCAAAAGGCGTCCTCGGCCCCCGGAGGTCTTCCAGCCTCGGGGTGCTTTTCCCAGCAGCTGCGCCTGGCCGAGCGCCTCCCGCGGGAGATGGCGCCCAGCAGATCGTCCCGCACCGGGGGCGCGCCCGAGGCCCGAGGGGCGCGCCCCGAGACTCAGCAGCCGAGGCGGCCGGCTTTCTCGGGAGGCTTAGGGGGCCGCTGGCCTTTTCGAGGGGGGTCCTGGGGATGTCCCCGAAACCCAGCGATCCGAGGATATGATTTTTTCAATCTGGCTGTTTTGCCTGGGTTTCGGCTTCCGGGGCCCGTCACCGGGCCCGGGGGCCATCAAAAATGGATCCGGGACGAAAAACCATTCCCGGGGAAAGGGTCGAGACCTCGGGGATTTTCCCAGGAACCCTGAGATCCGAGGATCTGATATTTTCCCAGCCATCCTGTGGTGTTGGGTTCTGAAATGAGCGCCCCGCGTCACTCCTCCCGCTGCCCCCTCCCCCCTCCTCCTTCCTCCTCCCCTCCTTGCCTCTGCCCTGCGAACGTCCATGTCGGCACACCCCTCACACGCTTGTTGGCCTCATTGGGAGCTCCACCGAAGGCCCCAGTGGCCGCGTTCGGATACGGTTCCCCGCCCACCGCGCGTCCATTTCGGCACACCCTTCACACGGTTCGTGGCCCCATGGGGAGCTCCACCGAAGGCCCCAGTGGCCGCGTCCGTATGCGTCCCCCGGCCCCTTTTCGGCACACCCCTCACACGGTTCGTGGTCCCATGGGGAGCTCCACCGAAGGCCCCAGTGGCCGCGTCCGCATGCGTCCCCCGCCCATTCGGCACACCTTTCACACGTTTCGTGGCCACATTATTAGGGAGCTCCACCGAAGGCCCAGTGGCCGCGTCCGTATGCGTCCCCCCGCCCTTTTTCGGCACACCCCTCACACGGTTCGTGGCCCGATACGGAGGTCCACCGAAGCCCCCAGTGGCCGCGCTTGCATGCGTCCCCCCACCTATTTCGGCACACCCTTCACTCGGTTCGTGGCTCCATAGGGAGCTCCACCGAAGGCCCCAGTGGCCGCGTCCGTATGCGTCCCCCCGCCCCTTTTGGCACACCCCTCATACGTTTCGTGGCCCCATAAGGAGCTCCACCGAAGGCTCTATTAGGAGGGTTCGCATGACACCACCGCACCCAATCCGGCACACCCTTCACACGGTTCGTGGCCCCATGGGGAGCTCCACCGAAGGCTCCAGTGGGAGGGCTCGCATGACACCACCGCACGTCCATTTCGGCACACCCCTCACACTGTTCGTGGCCCCATAATTAGGGAATCCCGCCGAAGGCTCCAGTGGGAGGGTTCGCATGGCACCACCGCACCCAGTTCGGTACGCCCCCTCACACGTCTCGTGGCCCCATTGGGAGCTCCACCGAAGGCTCCAGTGGGAGGGTTCGCATGGCACCACCGCGCCCAATTCGGCACGCCCCTCACACGGTTCGTGGCCCCATGGGGAGCTCCACCGAAAGGGATGCCCACAATGCGGTGTTCGCAGTTGCATATGGTTGGGTCTTTCGTCAGGCTAATTCAATCCGGCTGTTTTGCCTGGATTTCGGCCTCCAGGGTCCGTCATCGGGCCGGGGACCATCAAAAATGGATCCGGGACGAAAAAACACCACCGGTGAAGGGGTCGGGACCCTTGGGGCCGCGGATCGAAAAAATCACATCGGTGAATGTCTGGGAACCGCAGCGGACTTCTCGAGAGGCTGGAAGGGATCGGAGCTGGACCCCCCTCCCTGGCGCGCGCCAGGGGCGGAAGCGTCGCCAGAGGGGACTCCAGCGCCAGTCCGAAACGATTCGCGCGGACCTCCGAAAGTTTATGCTTAAAAGTTTGAGTCGTCATGAGCTCCCCGAGGAAATTATAGCAGGAGCGGTTCAGTTGTTCATCCTTTGACGCTCGTGGCGCTTGCAGGCCACGAACGAGCTTTCAGGTCTGCTCGGCCGTGCGCCAACACAACGGCTGCGGGCCGCCAGTGCCAAATTTCCCCCCCTCGGGGGCGCCGCCGAAGGAGGAGGAGGAGGAGGAGGAGGAGGAGGAGA